GTACTTCGGTACTTCATTCGTCCGTACATTTACCATTCAGAAATACCGGTATGTGTTTCAGTGCGTCAGTGGGAATCATGTGTCACATTTGCTCCAATGTGTCAGTTTATGCTGCACCCGTTGATATTAGTCACAGTGCACAGCTTAAATACTCCTCACAGAATCACTTCGTATTCCAGCATTCGATCGCAGATCAAAACGAAGATCATAACCGGAAGCCGGGAGGAAAGGAAGTGGATAGCGGAGCACCGTTTCAATAACACTGTACAAGTACAACCAAACGTGGACGATTCCACGTTTCAAATGCCGAACTGAATTTTCAGTCTCTACACTTGAAAGTGCAGAGATTGCAGTCTCCACACGTGGAGTTGACCACGTTTGCACCATGCTAAGAGGTAGGGGCTTTGTGACGAGGGGTTATCCACTCCGGGAATCGTTCGTAATTTGCTCAAAAGTTTTGCGAAAATCTTAAAAGTTTCAATGGGGAGAGATACGTCATAGACTCAAAACACTCAAAAGCTAAGAAAAATCTTCGAAAACCTCTTCTTTTATGCAAGATGTGTTCAGGAATCGCGGGAATCCGGAATCGTGTGTATGCCCAAGTACCGAGCGGGTAACCCCTCGCTTTGTGAGCTGCGAACTCTGCACTTCCAAGAGTGGAGACTTACTCCGCATCAAAGTGTTATAGTTCCACGTTTGGTTTCACAGTGAAATGCCGACTAACATTCTCAATTCTAATGTCAAAAATTAATTGAAACAGAAAGCGCTTTTGGAGGGGATACGCCTCGGTGCACTCGCTGAGGTCTGAAAGGTCCTGAGAAGCTCCCGACAAAAAAAAAAAAACTTGGTCGGCGACATCGTAGGACCGGGCACCTGTGGTGTTTTATCGGTTCCTTGTATGCATACGAACTGCCGAAAACACATTTTGGACGAAATCCGAACCGCCCTCTGGATTTGGCAGGGGTCAAAACACCCCAAAAATGCCCATTTTCGACGTTTTGGGACTAGATGGGTTCTCCTAAACCAAAGCCCAAAAAAGTACCCAAATGGGCCCTGGGCATAGAAATAAGTGCGATCTTTCGATAGCCGGTCCGCAAAATGAGTTTGGACAAGCCGTTTAGGCGCTATCGGGCGCCAAAGTTGACAAATTTCACTAATTTCACAAATTTTTCGAAAAAAAATGTTCTTTTCCTTGTAATGCAGTTTTGATGGGCCTGATGTGTCAGAAATGTGTTCTTATCCTGCTTTCGTCAGTATTTACTTGATACAACTACGCGTCAGCTAACTATTACACTCATTTTCACGCTGTGCACGCTATTCAGCAACTTGAACGCCTGGCAGTTAGAGGCGTACTACACCCAAAAAGCCACTTGGCCGGCGACCATCTCGGATCGGGCTCAAACTTTTTTAGGCACGAAGTAGCCTTATAGTATCCCCCAAGATTCAGCCTCGCTGGGATTTGATCGCGTGGCCCCTTATGCAAGTCGAAACCTCTCTATAGGATTTTGATGAGATTTTGCAGACTGGTACAATTCTGAGACGTGATTTCAATTCTGGAATAAGGTTGAAATCTTACCGATAAATTTTGAGAAAATTGCCGTCAAAATCACTGTTTCTATAGCAAAGCTCGACTCGTCAACGAAAAAGGAAGAGAGAGGGGGGATCCGAGCCAAACCCAACCAATAGCGTGGCTCCTTTTCGCTTCTGTACAGGTTACCCCAAAAACGGTCGCTGCTTTGAAAAAGGACGTTCGAATAAAAAACTTTCTGCGACCGTGATAGAACAGATGTAACAATAGCACAAGAGGGATTTTTGGACGCAGTCTTTTCATTGGCACTGCCTGATGAAATTTTTTTATGGGAATGTCTTTGCTCATGCGCGGAACATTACACAGTCTTACCAATATGGAAACCAACACTCATTGTGAGTTTTGTGTTTGTTTCATTTTCAATGTGTATTTTCTACCACAAAATTAATCTGTATAAATTATGACATTGTATCTGAATATATTTTAAAGACACATGTTGAAGGAAAGATTTGAAAAAAAAATGTTAATTTTTTCATTTATCAACCTTTTTACTGAATCAATAAAACAAAAATATATTTCTTACATGTGTCTTAGCTGGTCTTAGCTCTAGTTTTTGTTTGATGGTAGTTCTCATTCAGTTACCACCATGACCACATGCTCCACCTCGCGACTTTCAGTGCCCGTTTAAAAAAGATCGTGCCGAGAATGTGTCGAAATGATGTCGAAATGATGCCGAAGTGTCCGGCATGCCCTGAATGATGCCGAAATGCGCTCGGCAAGCCCGAAATCCACCCGCCGCCGGCACGCGGCAAGCCCGAAATGAGCCCCGCTGTCGCGGGCGGCCCGGAATCGTACCGCGACCCCGGCCGCTGCCCGGCCGGGTGGATTTCGGGCGTGCCCGTGCCTTTCGGCATGATTCCGGGCATGCCCGAGTGACGGGGCGCATCGAGACCCTAATCAAAGAAGTGTCAAGTTAATGTCTTTGACCTGCGTACAAAATTGAAAAGTTAAAATAGTGAAATTCTTTCTTAAGTTTCAAGTCTATCAAAACCGGCGTGAAAAATTAGAAAATTCCGTGCAAACGAGATGTTTGTAGGACAATTTTGAATTCTTTGACTGAACAAATCTCCAATCAAATTAAACACTTTGATACGGGTACTTGAATGAATGCAGTTGAATCCGTTGAGCTACTGATGCTTAACAGCCTTAGCATACCTAAATAGTAACTTTAGCTTGCCATCCTATAGAAAAGGTCTGGCTCTCAATAACATGAGCCGCGGGAAAAGGGTACTACTTCGAGTACGTGGATTATAAGGAAGCGAAGAACCTGGTTTGCGTGTAAGAGCCAACACCCCAATAACTGGGTTTGGGAGCCTGAGACCTGGGTTTCCAGTGGGCCTGGATCCGCGTGTTGACTAGTCCACACGCAGTGCTCTACCTCCGCTCAAGTTCACCGAGTCTGCTGTTAGATCCAAGTGCCCAGCTGAACCCGCGCACCTTGTCCAAAAGTCGAGGGGCTCTCCGCGAGTAACCCAAGAGTCTCGCGGAGGTTACTTATTCGTCAAGACACAGGGCTCGCCGCGCGCTCCTCCCCCAGCAGCGTGTCTCCCCCGCCCCCTCCAGTGCCGCTCGGGGTCGAGCGAGCTCGCTGGAAGGCATCGGGAGCCTGAGGCCTCCTCCCCAGGTCTCCTCCGTGGTGCAGTTGGCAGCGTCTCGGTCCACAAAGACGGTCGTCCTGGGTTCCAATACTAACCAGTGTTTCTCCTTCAGCGTTCTGTGTACGTGTGTGTGTATGTGAGTGTGTATGTGCGTCTGTGTGTGTACGAGTGTGCGTGTGTGCGAGACTGAATAGGATCCGCCATCCAGGTACCTCCCCCTCCCCGGCGCCTTAATGGGAGGGACGGTTCGGCACGATTTCGGCATGCCCGGCAAGCGTCCGGCATTGCCGAAAATCGGTTTATTTTCCAACAAAATGATCGTTTTTCGGCAAGCCCGGACTCCTGGTTCGGGGCGGATTTCGGGCGTGCCGGCCGGGCATGCCCGAAATCCTGCCGTCATCCGGCACGATTTCGGGCAAGATCATTTTTAAACGGGTGCTCATGTTCCTCGAACAAGACTCACCTGCGATTCGAAACCATCCCTCCTGAGTTTATAAAGTTTGTCAAACCAACCGTCGTGGTGTGGTTACGTTGTGAGTGAGAGCTATTTCACAGAATTGAAGAAAACATGACTAGAGAACCGTAGCCTTTTGAAACAAGCCGAAACAATTCAACGTCAGCAACAATGGAGGGGCAGTTTTAATGCGCGACTACTCGTGTTTTCGGCTTCGCTATTTTCGCAAGGGCGCAGACGCCGAGAAGATTGTTGCCAACCCGCGAAAATTAATTTACTGCCTCCTTTCCCCCACGAACATTTTAATAATGATTGACTTAAAAGATGTTCCACTGTGGAATACATTAGCATTGGAATTTTTCGAATTTTACGGCATTTTGATATATTTGTTCCCAAGTTTAAATTTTGACGGGTGGCACATCGACCACATTGGTACCACTGCCATTCGTACCCAAACCACCCCCTATCCCTTTTACACAACTTTTTCCCTTTCTCCACACTCCTTTACAATAACCATATTCACTTCGTGGCTCCTAGGATTTCTTGAAATCGTATTTTTTCAGGATGCCTTTCACCCAAACGGACTGCCGAAACACCATGGGAGCGAGATTCGACTCGAACTCCGGATTTTATAGGGGTCGAAAACCCCCCAAAATAGCTGTGTCTGAGGGTTTGGGACTTTGTGGGTTGGTGGAACCGGCTGGCCAAAAAATCTACCCCTTAGGTGTTGCGTGTAGAAAAGAGTGCGCTCTTTCGTATGGCGTGTCGCACGAGGCTCTATGACGTCGGGTTTAGACGCTGCGGCCTCTCAAAGTTGCTCAATTTCACCATTTCAGCGTAGGGGCGTTTGAGGTAGACCGAGGGTAGAATGGCCCAGGTTAAAATCCTAACGGGGCATAAGTTAGCCAGAATGGGCTCTGTCATGCAGATTGACCACTGAACCTCGTCTCGTACTTGAAGCCCCGCAGAAAATGGTTCGGCTAATCCCATTGCTGCTTTGACGTGCGACCAGGACACTGCGGCGATAGGGTCTGCCGAAGGCAGGCCAGCGCCGCTCGTCAAGGCAGGTGTAAACGCCAGACGTGGATTATCGTAACTTGAGCGGCATCGCAAAGCCTGTTACGACGACAAGACAGTCTGGCGCACACTAACCCTGTATCAAAAGATTCAAGACACAGTCTAGCGTACACCAACCTTGTATCTAAAGATACGACAAGACGCAGTCTGGCGTACACCAACCTTGCATCAATGGAGGATGATCAGTCTGGAAATATGGTGTCTAGTCTTTCCCCACCCCTGAGGTGATAGACCTGACCCTTCTACGTAGGGTTTCGCTTCGTAACACGAGGCTTATCGTAGGATGTTTAATGCCCGTTCTTTTTCGTTTAGTCACTTCTAGCATAGGGCCTGGAGTGAAGAACGAAAAGAAGAACATAAGCCGGAAACAGCTGCCAAGTAACGCTTATTTATGGGGTATTTCGGAGCAGCCCTGGCCTGGAAGAAGAACAAAAACGAAAGTTAGAAATGGCAGTTTCTGTGAGAAATATACGCTCCAGATGAGCATACGCAGCGTATATTTCTCATAGAAACTGCTATTTCTAACTTCCGTTTTTGTTCTTCTTCTTCTGGGCCAGGGCTTCTCCGAAATACCCTATCGATAACGCTTGTATATTCTCAATCCACAAATTTAAGGAAGCTGAATTTATAATACAATTTATTTTAAACCTGCCAAACTCCCCCGAAAAAGGCCGTTTTTTTGAACTGTTTTCGGTCTTTGTTCTTCTTGTTCTTCACTTCAGGCGCTGCTAGAAGTGTCCATTACGAACCGATGCTCCGCAGACTCTATAGTGTGTAGACCGCCTTTCTTGCTTCGGAGACACATCTTAATGGGATTAGAACCTTTATTTCGACGAAGATCCGGGTGTCGGCAGTCGGCCAGTTCTTGCATGTAGCAGCACCATGGGGGGTCAGTGGGACGGTCCAGGTGGTGGTCCGAGATGTTTGTGGCGTGCGCCTTTCTCGAGGTTCCCTGGCCTGCCCTGCAACCCTGCACCCGCCAAACACATAGGCCTCCGAGAAACAGCCCACGTGGTAAGAGATCCTTAATTGAGGCCGTCGTGCCCGAGGACCCGGTGCCTCGCCCCTTTGCCTCAACTAACGGTGTGTTGCTTGCAGGTTCCGTGAAGGCTGAGGAATCGGAGGACCTTGGAAGACAGGACCATGGAGAGGACGCGAGTGGCGGTTTCTGCGAAGGTGAGTCTGGAGCCAATGTGGCCACGACGAAAGCCGCATACAAAAGTTTTTAGGCGACTTCCGTATTTCGGCGTTCTCTTTGGAATTACTAGCCAGGGGAAGGCCTTCGGCCTCGATGCTGAGCTGGATTCTGCTGGAGATGGTAATGCATTTTCATCAGTTGTAAATTTGGATGTGTTTATTTTGAAAATGAGCCTCTTTTCTTTTTGGGGGGTGATAGCCAGGAAGTATGCTTTTGCGCAAAGGATTGTGATTCGGCAATGGTTGGTTTCTCCTTGAATCGACGGAAGGCTATTTAATAATCTAAAACTAAATGTTCCAACCAATCCTAACCTAACCTAACGGGCTCGTGACAGATCTTACTCTACTCGTGACAGATCTTACCCTACTCTCGACAGATTTTATTCTCAAACTAAATGGTCCAACCAAACCTAACCTAACCTAACGGGCTCGTGACAGATCTTTCTCTACTCGTGACAGATCTTTCCCTACTCTCGACCGATCTTATTCTCAAACTAAATGATCCAACCAATCCTAACCTAACCTAACGGGCTCGTAACAGATCTTACTCTACTCGTGACAGATCTTACCCTACTCTCGACAGATCTTATTCTCAAACTAAATGGTCCAACCAATCCTAACCTAACCTAACGGGCTCGTAACAGATCTTACTCTACTCGTGACAGATCTTACCCTACTCTCGACCAGGGTTCGGAAAGTTACTCAAATTTTTGTAACTAGTACCGTTACAGTTACTTGTCCCAAAAGTTTTACTAGTTACTGTTACCGTTACTTTCGTCCGGAAAAGTAACTAGTATCGTTACTGTTACCGAAAAATTTGTAACTAGTTACTTTTACTGTTACTTTTTGGCAGAGTAGAGAAGTTCAATGCATAAAAAAGCCCCCCCTCCCCCGGTCACTTTTCCAAGCTGATCGGGTTCAACAAACGTCGTCTCTTCATTGCTTCTGCGACCAAGGTCAAGTGCACAGCCTCGCCCATTGCGACCGTACTTTCACGCCATCTTTTCATAATTGACCTGCCGCGCCGATTCCCAAACATGTGAGCCCCCGACCTGCCCGTCTCCTGCCTTTGTCTATTCAGGCCAGGCAGTTGCAGTGGGAGAGAGACAGGATGCCGCGCTCCGTCCTTTATGCCATTCTCGGGACCAATAAACCAGGAAGGTTGACCGGCAAGGACTATGGCGTCCGGAACGAATTGTCGCACCCTCTCTCCCTGACAACACACGTGGGGACAAAACAAAGTCAATCCGAGAAAAATATCTCATCAGCGCCGAGTTTTGCCTCACGTGTGCGCGAGAAGAAAAGGGAAAATGGTGGAGCCGGCGAGCGAAATGTAACTGTAACGAACAACTAGTACTTTACCGGCAAATTTGTAACTAGTACCGATACAGTTACCGAGCCTGAGAAAAGTAACTAGTTACTAGTATCGTTACTCAAAAAAGTAACTAGTACCGGTATTGTAACTAGTTACTACCTGTAACTTTCCGAACCCTGCTCTCGACAGATCTTATTCTCAAACTAAATGGTCCAACCAATCCTAACCTAACCTAACGGGCTCGTGACAGATCTTTCTCTACTCGTGACAGATCTTTCCCTACTCTCGACCGATCTTATTCTCAAACTAAATGATCCAACCAATCCTAACCTAACCTAACGGGCTCGTGACAGATCTTCCTCTACACTCTACCAAAAATGTCCTGTAAATGCCGTTAATTTATTACCAGTTTTTACTGTAGGTCAATTCACAGCGTTTGCTGTGAACTAGTTCACGGCGTTCACTGTGATCTCGGTTACAGTGTTCACTGTGATCTGGTCCCCAGTAAACACTGTGAGTTTGACGCCGCTGAGCACCGAAGTACTGCAAATCAGGCTCCAATTCACGGCGTTTACTGTGGCCAGATCACAGTGAACACTGTAACCGAGTTCACAGTAAACGCCGTGAACTAGTTCACAGCAAACGCCGTGAATTGCATAACAGCAAACATTGGTAATAAATTAACGGCGTTGACAGGACATTTTTTGTAGAGTGTACTCGCGAAAGATCATACCCTACTCGCGACAGATCTTATTCTCAAACTAAATGGCCTATGAAGCTTGGCGTACGACTATGGAGCTTGGACTATTGAGCTTGGACTATAGAATATGGACTATGGAGCTTAGACTATGGAGCTTGGACTATGGAGCTTGGACTATAGAGCTTGGACTATAGAGTTTGGACTATAGAGTTTGGACTATAGAGTTTGGACTATAGAGTTTGGACTATAGAGGTTGGACTATAGAGGTTGGACTATAGAGGTTGGACTATAGAGTTTGGACTATAGAGCTTGAACTATAGAGCTTGGACTATGGAGTTTGGACTATGGAGTTTGGACTATAGAGTTTGGACTATAGAGTTTGGACTATAGAGTTTGGACTATAGAGTTTGGACTATAGAGTTTGGACTATAGAGTTTGGACTATGGAGTTTGGACTATGGAGCTTCGACTATGTATACGCATATGAATATAGTAAAAATAAACAGAGGAAGATACCTCTTGTAAACTAAAGGTATCAGGGGGGGGGGTCGGACAAATGAGCTATTCAAAATCCCAAACAGGGTGCTTCGCTTCGCTCAGCAACAAGAAAACAAGGTGCAGCGGTCTTTCAAAACCATTTCCTAGTATTACGCCATTTGGTGTCATTTAGAACTTTTGTTTGTTTTTTAAGAAAATGTTCACCTCGGTACTCCCGTGGGGTTAAGATACGTTTTGTTTGTGTGAGTGTGTGTCGGGAGGCATGGAATTTCGGGACTGGCGCAGCGTCTCGAAGCCTGTTACCTCAAGCCACGGTCTAGCGTACACCTACCTTGCTATACACGTGCTGACATTTGGCCAGTAATTGAAAGAATATGGACGGCAGTTGCCGAATTTTGGGGACCTAGAAATTAGGCGAAGAAGGTTCCCCAAAGTGGGTCCCATCACTGAGAATTTAAGATAAATGATTACGCGTTAAATAATGGGCGAGGTACCTCATCGCCTAAGAGAATATGGTCCTCACCCATTTTGGGTGGTAAGTTATACCTCGGTCAAAATTGGGTTCTGGTCAATACTTTTTCATTCTCAGTGAGTCAGCACCTTAAGGTGAGGTGTGGTTAAAAATTTGTACCAAATTTGATATAAATGACAAATTTAATCCACCTGTTATATTAAGGCAATAAATTCTTCTATTACCGACAGCACGTCCTAAAGGTCTATGTTATGAACCATTAAGTGAGTGGTTCATCTAACGTGGACTGATGTATTCATGCGCCTTTTCTGGTCACCCAACTCTTACGACAAGTGTCGAAGAAATTTTTTTCTACCCTGTCAATTAGCCACGCATACAGTTTTGTTTTATACTGACCATACTTCGTGGGATAGTTCTTTGTGGTCCATGTAACAATGTAACAGAGATATTTCAAATAACTATCCACTTTCTTAAATGGTTAAACTTAAAATGGTAAAAAATAGATAAAGAAATTAATTTTTTCCTATTAAAAAATTGCGAAGTTTGCTCAGTCAAAACAAAAAACTTAAATTCTAATATCTCTGTTACATTGAAGTGTAGGGGTTTAGGTAACTCCAAAATAAATTTCGGATCATTCCGTCAAAAAACTTTGTGTGGCTGATTTTTCTACTAAACACTTAATTTCAATGAAAAAAGCCTACTGTGGCTAAATGGGTGGGTAGATTTGGACGAAATTTGATGTGTAATAGTTTCCTGCCTAGTACTTAAGGTGGGAAATACCCGTTGAAGCCCCTTTTTTCTAAAGTGCCTAGTTTTCATCGAAAATTCTTTCCTACTTTAATGAGTTTAATTTTGTCTTGTAATGTGTTCCTTATAGATTCCGAATTCAGCCAGACATTAAACCCAAGTACCCTATGAGTGTTGAAAGCTTCGGCCATAAAACAACGCTGCCAACCTTCGGTGCGCACGTTTTCTCGAAAAGTAATTGATCTCCAGGTCCAGGTATTCTGTACAGGATACTTGACACATATATCTAGTTCACACCGTCGCCTTTTTTTGAAAGTGAGTTCCAGTTTTTGCCCCGTCCCGTTTATTTTTTGTAAAAAAAATGACGGAGGGACGGGCATATAGTATGATGCATGCTGTGCGTCCGTTCGTTCGTCCGAGGACTTCCCGTGGTCCGATCTTGACCAAATTTGGGCATACAGGACATGAGCCCCGTCCCGTTTGAGCCCCGATGGTCTGAGCCCCAACTTGAGCCCCGACCCAAACCCCAATATCCAGAGCCCGGATTGAGCCCCGGCATAAGCCCCGTTCGAGCCCCGCTTGAGCCCCACTTGAGCCCCGTGGTAATAAATCATGCAAAAATGCATGATTTCAGGCCGCGGGGCTCAAATGGGGCTCAAACGGGGCTCAGATGGGGCTCAGGTCGGGGCTCAATCCGGGCTCTGGATATTGGGGCTTGGGTCGGGGCTCAAGTTGGGGCTCAACTCGGGCTCAGGTTGGGGCTCAGGTCCAGGCTCAGACCATCGGGGCTCAAACGGGACGGGGCTCATGTCCTGTATGCCCAAATTTGGTATGCAGCCTCCTTGGGTGACCCTAAGAACCGCCCGGTGGCAGCAAATCCGATCCGAGCCCCGGGGGCGCTGCTGCAGGTGCATCATGGTCTACATGGGGTCGAGGAGGATCTCGGCAACGGATGCAGCTAGCAGGGCATGTAGGGGTATTTTTGGAATCGGTGCGACGAGAAAAAACCAATGGTGCCACTTTCGAACGAATCGGAGAAGTTCGGACCCGGGTTCAAATCCCAGTGGGGTATATTTTAAACTTTCTTTTCATTCGAGTTTCTGCATTGTTGCTTATGTTTTTGAGGGCGCTGATGACGAAAATAACATCTATTTTGACCCTAGACCCTGGTTTAAAGTCGTCAGGGTTAAACAAAGGCGAAATTCACACATTTGTTAATGTACGGGACGGGCCAAAGTTGCCGATGTATATCGCTACTTTTCCTGTTATTCGTAAATAAGGCTGAAAAGTGAAAATGGAGAGTCAATACTTCATTTTTTTGCACTTTTCTGCCGTGTTTGTTTTCAAAAAACTGGAACTCACTTTCAAAAAAGGGCGACCTCGACCCCGCCAGTTCAGCCGGGGCCCCTCGCGGGGCGCTCTTCTCAACTGGCGAGGTTTGCAAACGCTTTTGGTCAGCGTGTATCCTAAGGCCTTTAGCCAATCAAGGCCCATTAACAAGGGCCCGTTACCGTCTGCTAAGCGCAGTGTGCCAGCAAAACGGACACCATCGTGAGTTACCGTAACTTTGCATGACGGGGCGTTCCACGTCAAACCATCATGGTCCAAAACGTACTTGCTCAGATCCGGCCCCCAATTTTTTTATCTGGTAGTGTACCACCCTAAGACCACTCTCATAAATTTTTTTGAAAAAAAATTCAGAACTTTGGCCACAGTGATTTTTTGAAACTTCAAAAAAAAAATTTAATTTTTTTTTTAGTTTTTTTTAAATTGTGCAACTAGGTGCTTAAATGGGTTGAAAACAGTAAAGGGCAACAGAAAATAGTGAAAAAAAAAATTGGGACCCCCCAGCCCTTACCAGAAACAAAGTTTACGATAATAAAAACCACGGTTTCTTGAATTCCCAAAATACGCCGTCTCACTTTTGGACCATATTGGCATCAAAGGACCCCAATGAGGTACTCTAACTGTCACTAAAAAATTAGGGACGGCAATCCATAAACAGCAGAGATATTGTCAAAAAACTCAAAAAGTTATCGAAGGTTATCGAAGCTTTTTCCCCCAAAATTGTCAAAATGGGACCTTTATTGATTCCGCTGAGGCACTGTGCATTGAAATACTATTCAATTGTCTATCTTAACACCATGGAAGATGTGAGAGAGGTAAAGGTCAGCATTACAAGAGTTTTGGAATTACACGGCAATAAGTTTTTTTAATTATAATAACCAAATGCGACAAAATGCATTGTTTGGCAGTCGCCAACTGAAGCTCATTGATTGGTGGGGACTTCATCCAATTTTTTTTTTTTGAAGTTTTAAAAAATCACTGCGGCCAAAGTTCTGAATTTTTTTTCAAAAAAATTTATGAGAGTGGTCTTTGGGTGGTACACTACCAGATAAAAAATTGGGGGCCGGATCTGAGCAAGTACGTTTTGGACCATGATGGTTTGACGTGGAACGCCCCTGACCCCACAATGGTGACGTGCCCACCATCCCACTGGTGCAACGTGTTTTGCGTTGGGTCCCAGAGTCATTCTGGCCATAGTTGTCAAAATTGCGTAGTGTTCATGAGCGTCGCGCCGGCCCCGGTATCGGGCTCGGCGGTCACGCTGACACCGTCAAACGAGGCTAAACGTCTCGTTTCCAATCCGAGGGGTTACCCACTCCGGGAATCATGTGTACACTCAGTCCGGGAATCATTCCTAAATCTTTCAAAATTTGATGGAAAATCCTCATAGTTTCAATTTAAAGTCATGGTAACCATGTGATACACACAAAACATTCAAATACAAACAATTTTTTCGAAAGTTCTCTCTTTTTCTCAGAGATATGTTCTGGGAATCGCGGGAATCCGGAATCGTGTGTACACTAAAGCAACGAGTGGGTAACCCCTCGTTCCAATCCCAACAAATTTTGTCAAACCTTTTTTTTTCACGTGTCTCTGGGTTGACGAGAACCCAAATCACACTGTAACAAATTCCGTACTTTCGTACGGAAATGGTACAGAAAAATATAGAACAGAGGTACGGAGAAAAGTACGGAACGTTCCGTACTTGCCCCATGAACCCATGTAAATGGGTACGGTAAAAATGTACGGAACGTTCCGAAGTTGGCAAGTATGGACGTTCCAGGCAAATTATTGACCAGACATGTTCCGTCTCTTGCGTACTTTTTTCTCACAGCGTTCAAAGTTTCGTTTCTTTTGGACAACCCATGTCGAAAACCCTTTTTTAACCAAATTGACAGCGTCATACAACAAAATACTACAAAATTCATCGTACCTTACGCTAAATCATGCGTTATACGATGCAGACATATTTGTTAACTAAAAAAAACCTGCGTAATTCGATGAAATCATGCAGACATTTGGACATATTACGTAGGCCTACACTGTTAAAAAATGATTGTACAGAAACAATCAGATGAGTGAAAATTTAGTCGTTCCAAAACATAGAATTTCATCATGAACCAAAGCGAAACAACTGTCATTGACTCAAGTCAGCGACAATTTGTCGTTGAAGAACAATATTCTTGTTATCACCCTTAACGATACAATTTGTGTGGAAACAACATCTTTTGCAATTATCTGCTCAATTAAAGCGAATTATGAAAATTCATCTAATTTGTTCGCCAAGTCATAGTGAAATTACTATTGATAAAATAAGAACCATGCAAAATAAATTTAGCGACAAAAGTTCTCCATGAGTACTTGTCGCAGACATAACAAAATCTTTTTCGACTTACAATACTTGTCGTTGACTTACAACATTTGTTGTTGGTCAACGACTTGTTCTTGAAAGTGGACTGTTCATGTAGTATTACAAGTTAGTCGTTGTGAAATTATCCTTTAGTTCCTGTACGACTATGGTTTGACAAGCTATTCGTTCCACAACAAATCTTGTTGTTAAAAAAATTAGCGACAAATGTGTCGCTAAGTTACTACAAAATTTTTGTCAGTGTATGTGCAAATTTATGTGAACCTCACGCTGATACATATCGTATTAGTAGTATACAAACGTTCGTAAGAATATGACCGTGTGGTTCACAGGACCCCCAGCGGCCACCCCGCAGCTCCGCATCAGCAGCACCTTCTCCCTGGCCGGCCCGGCCGGCGATGCGGGGCAGGCGGAGCAGGCTTGGCGGCAGACGCGCAGCAGGAAGGCGAGGCTGGACTCCAAGCTCGGGGAGTCCGGGAACAAGTCTCGGGACAAGGCGGCCCCGCGGAAGCACCGAGCAGGCAACTCCAAGGCGGGGCGACACGTGTGCCAAGTGTGCGGCAAGGACTGGCCATCAGCTTCTAAGCTGGAGATTCACGCGAGGAAGCACACCGGAGAGAAACCGTTCGAGTGTGACGAGTGCGGGAAGAAGTTCACGTTCAAGGGTAATCTTGACGTGCACATGAGGGTCCACACTGGAGAGAAACCGTTCGTGTGTGATGTGTGCGAGAAGAAGTTTTCCATGAAACAGGATCTTAAGCGGCACTCGAGGATTCACAATGGGGAGAAGCCCTACGAGTGCGGCGTGTGCAAGAGAAGGCACTGAAAATCTACCGGCGTGACTTCGTGCCGCTGCAGGGGCGTGAATAAAGTGTCAGGCCATTAAACGGCATGACACAAAAGTCACGCCAAAAATCGGCGTGACTCAAAAATTCACGCCAATTTTTGGCGTGAATTTCTTGTCATGCCGCTTTTTGGCGTGACTTGCCTCAGAAAACGCGTTGTCAATCACGCCAAATGAGGGCGTGACTCACATGTCACGCCGTTTTTCGGCGTGAATTTCGTGTCACGCCAATTTTTGGCGTGACTTTTTGTCACGCCATAATTTGGCCATGTGTCCGACCATTACGTTTTCAGTGGGTTCACTCACAAGGGACATCTTGATAGGCACATGAGGGTTCACACTGGTGAGAAGCCTTTGCGATGTGTGCAGGGAGAAGTTTGCGAGGCCTAATACTTTTGCAGCACTCAAGCGAATCCACTCTGGGGAGAAACCGTAGAGTGCGACGTGTAGAAGAAAAAGTTCACTCAGTTCTCAGTTGGTTGGTCGTGGTTTGCACCGGAGGCTTCACTCTGGAGAGACGCCTTAACTTTGTGCGGAGAGGTGTCAATTTGGTGTCGTTCAATGCCCAAGCGCTCATTCATGAGCGATGCAAGGATTTGATTTGTTCGGTTTTCTGTCTTCGTGTGGGAGGGGCAACGCAATGTGCCTGCGGACATTTGCAACAGTTAAGGACAGGTTTTTTCGCGCCTCTAAAATTTGTTTCTTTACTATTCAACTGCTCTGTATCTTGCCTAGTTATTGCCTCTTCTTGTATAACACTCCTACCCTTGCGATACGTTCTTTATGTGGCGGTAAATTGCTTTTTTTATTTGTCATATTTCTTGTGGCCATCAAAAGATTTGTTACTGAATAAATATTTCCTTTCCCTTTCCATTGACAAAATTTCCGCACATGAAACTATAAAAAGAGTCACAAATGAAACTGTTGAAAGCAACTAAGGGTGCGCGCATGTATTCTTGTAAAATGTGCCGCTCCACTGCAAAGCAGAGGTCAAGGAAGGCAAATGTGTGTCTGCCGCCATCGCGGTGCTTTGCGTCTCTTTTTCTAATTCGCTTTTTGTTTCAGGCCCAGACCACTGTGAAGCAGAATGCTTCAGCTTTGCATGGCTGCCTCTGTTTCTTCTGAAAATCTGCGCTTGCTTCATTTAGTCCGATTGGAAGCTTTTATTTTGACGAGGTTGTGGGTGGCGGTTGTTGGTACCTTCTTGCATGGCGGGTCGGTGGGTCGGTCCAGGTGGTGGTCCGTGGTGCTTGTGGCGTGCTCCTTGCACGAGGTTCCCTGGCGGACGGTGGTTCCGCCCTGCACCCGCCAAACACATTGGCCTCCGACACAACAGCCCGCGTGTTAAGGGATCCTTAACTGTGGCCGTCGTGCCCGAGGACCGGTGTCCTGCCCGTTTGGCTCCACTAACGCTGTGTTGCTTGCAGGTTCCGCGAGGGCAGAGAAGTTGGAGGGCCCAGAAGGACAGCACTGCGAAGAGGACGCGGACGGAAGCTGCCACGCTGAAGGTGAGTCCGGAATCAAGCAGTGTGGTGACGAGACAGGTCGCACTGTGAGCGGAGTGACACTGGTGTTCTCCACAGCCATCGCCACAGAGCCAACAAACGTTCCGCAGCACTGTGCGAAAAGACCACAGTGAATCCCGTTAATTTTTTTGCCGGGATTTACTGTAGTTCAGAACACAGGATTTACCGTGCCTGGCTACAGTATCTACTGTACCTGGCACAGAATATTCCGTACTCCGCTCCTGTGGTACAGTAAATCCCGTAGAAAGTACAGTAGATCCTGTTAAAAAAGTACAGTAAATCCTGTACTCTGAACTACAGTGACCGCTGTACTAATCACTACAGGATTTACTGTGATTTTTTCCCACAGTGAGTCCGGTTCAGAAAATTCTCGTTACACTTTGTACTATCGCCGTTGTAACTTTTTTCTCAGCCTTTGTTTTGCTTTTGTTGTATAATTGCAGTGCAATGTGCGAGACTTCGACAGCAAACTTTTGCGATAAAAACACGGTTCGACTCGGTCCTGGAAGTTCCAGGACCGAAATGGCTGGTTTGGGTCGCGCGCACCTGTTTCCAGGACGGATCGCGACCAGGGTGAGGTTTAGTCCTGGAAACGGGTGCGCGACCCGAGTTTTCTGACCAGGTTCCAGGACCAAGCCCCACCCTGGTCGCTTACCGTCCTGGAAACGAGTGTTCCTGGCACCCTCGGGCTCGGGCACCCGCTTCCAGGTTTGCCGTCCGTCCTGGAAACGAGTTTACCGTAGAGCCGGACGGGCGTCACTCCCAGCCTCAAACCTCTCGCCGTCTGCGCACCGCGCGCCCGGCAAGGAGGCAATCCCGCCACGCTGCCGCGTCCGGGTGGTAGAAGGGTGGCCTACCTCGCCCCTGTCAACTGTCACCTCCCTCTCCCTCCCCTCTCTCCTCCCCGCCCGTCCCCCGCCACCGCGCGACTGCCAGACACACCCCGTTATTGAGATTACCAGGGGCGGATCAAGAGGGGTGACTTCTCAAAAATCAGGATTTGGATGTTGCATATCGTTTCTCATATTTTTGGGAGCGGAGACAACTAGTCTTGAACCATCTTGAATGCAAGTTAGCTCCAAAGCTGATCCAATGTATTGTCAAAACATCCAAATTCGGATCACCCCCTTTGCCCCACCTCTTGATCCGCCCCTGGTAATCTCAATAACGGGGTGTGTCAATGAGGGTGACTTTTCCGAATTTGAGATGTTTGAATGTCGCATGTTGATTCTTATGTTTACAGGGGTGTAGGTAACAACACTAGCCTTACTTTTTGCAATGGGCCTAAGATGTTCACATTTGGAGGCTTTTTAATTTTCTGTTTTTTTTACGATACGTAAGATCAGCTTTAGAGCTTGCATTCATCATCGTTCAAGATTCGTGATCTCCGCCCCTGAAAACACAGAAATCGCGTTGCAACATCCAAAAATCCTGATTTTTGAAAAGTCACCCCTCTTGATCCGCCCCTGGGAATCTCGAAAACGAAAATTGATCATATTTTCAGGTTCAGCACCCCAAATCACTGTTCCGAGTGACACTATAAGTTCAAGATCGAGAACCTGCGGTCTCAAATATGCATCATGCTCCCCTCCACACCACTCCAACTAGCGAAAATTTGCCAAATCGCAACACTAAAAACCGTCTTTCTTCCTTGTTTATGAATTTTTTCCAACCAAATTTTGAGGGTTGCTACACTTAAGTATGGACTATAACCCATCAAAAAATAAAAAAAATAAAAAATACTACTTTTGAGAAAATCGTGTTCAAAAATTTGACTTTGTTCAATGTTTGTCAAATTTGAAAATATTTGTCAAAATGTTGAAATAAGCTTAAAGTCCAATTCAATACCTTTCGAATGCGCCTATAATGAGATCTGTAGCTTCATTTTTGAAGAAACTACAGCGTTTTCAAAAAAGGTCTGCAACGAAAATCAAAATTTTTAACAGAAGCTATAACTTTTTCAAAAATCGTTATTTTTTGCTCAAAATTGATTTTGGGGGGTTTCAGACCATAGCCAACAAGCTCGCAAAGTTTCATCGAAATCGGATAGGCCACTTGCAACAGCATGTCGAACCCCCATGGAATGACCCCCTTTCGATTCGAGTGGGTTGGGTCTGATGTTGATGTTCTTTTTCTTTTTCGGCTTAGGCAAGATGGCGTCATTGGCGCGAAGATCTTTGACGTTTAAAATGAAAAGCCGTCGCGGTGGCGCTGGCAGTCGCGCGGTGGCGGGGGACGGGCGGGGAGGAGAGAGGGGAGGGAGAGGGAGGTGACAGTTGACAGGGGCGAGGTAGGCCACCCTTCTACCACCCGGACGCGGCAGCGTAGTGGGATTGCCTCCTTGCCGGGCGCGCGGTGCGCAGACGGCGAGAGGTTTGAGGCACACTCGTTTCCAGGACGACTGGTGAACCTGGCAGTGACGCCCGTCCGGCTCTACGATAAACTCGTTTCCAGGACGGACGGCAAACATGGAAGCGGGTGCCCGAGCCCGAGGGTGCCAGGAAAACTCGTTTCCAGGACGGATCGCGACCAGGGTGGGGTTTGGTCCTGGAACCTGTTCAGGAAACTCGGGTCGCGCACCCGTTTCCAGGACTAAACCTCACCCTGGTCGCGATCCGTCCTGGAAACAGGTGCGCGCGACCCAAACCAGCCATTTCGGTCCTGGAACTTCCAGGACCGAGTCGAACCGTGAACGAATTTCCGTTTCGCACGTGTGCGAATGTGTGAAGGTTGTAACCTTTCACACCTGATCGCACCCTTAAGTGCAATAATTCAGTTACTCCATAATTTTGCAATTAATTTGAGCGATGTAACCCCCTTTTCACTCTCATTCTAGGAACATGACATCACGTTTGTACCAATGAAACAAATTGTTAATTGCCCTTGTGCATTTTGTCACATTTCCTAGAATGTGAATAAGCTAAAATATGCCTGATTCACATTGAAACGAATGTAAGACAATGCTCAAACGAAATTGACATTTTGTTTCATTCGTTTGAACGTGATGTCACGTTACTGGAAAGACAGTGTTGCGATACTTCAATCGCTATTTGTTCCGTAATTGCAGATTATTTCAAAATATTATTATTTGTTTTTCGATACCGAAATACTGACAGTGCTTTTTGCAGTTTGAATGACTGTACTCCGATCAAAGTAAATTACAAATTCCTTGCCTGGTTCACAGGACCCCCAGCGGCCACCCCGCAGCTCCGCATCAGCAGCACCTTCTCCCTGGCCGGCCCGGCCGGCGATGCGGGGCAGGCGGAGCAGGCTTGGCGGCAGACGCGCAGCAGGAAGGCGAGGCTGGACTCCAAGCTCGGGGAGTCCGGGAACAAGTCTCGGGACAAGGCGGCCCCGCGGAAGCACCGAGCAGGCAACTCAAAGGCGGGGCGACACGTGTGCCAAGTGTGCGGCAAGGACTGGCCATCAGCTTATAAGCTGGAGGTTCATGCGCGGAAGCACACTGGAGAGAAACCGTACGAGTGTGATGTGTGCGGGAAGAAGTTTACTCGGAATGGAACTCTTGTTAGGCACATGAGGGTTCACACTGGAGAGAAACCGTTCGAGTGTAATGTGTGCGAGAAGAAGTTTTCTATGAAAGAGGATCTTAAGCGGCACACGAGGATCCACAACGGGGAGAAGCCCTACGAGTGCGACGTGTGCAAGAAGAAGTTCGCTGTGAAGGGTAATCTCGATGCGCACATGAGGGTTCACACTGGTGAGAAGCCTTACAAGTGTGATTTGTGTGAAATGAAGTTTTCGTGGCGAAATCTTTTTGCAGCACACAAGCGAATGCACTCTGGGGAGAAACGGTAGGGTGTGACGTGTGTAAGGAAAAGGTCACTTCGAAGGATGTTCCTGGCTTGCACAGGAGGCGCTTATTCATGTGTGATGCAAGATTTGCACAGAGGTCGGTTTTCTGTCTTTGTCTCGAAGGATTGACTCAATGTGCCCTACGAACAGTTTAGGATGAGTATTTTCGCGCCTCTAAAATTTGTTTCTTTACCAGTTATCTGTAAAATGTATTGGCTAGCTGGCGCTTCATTTTGTAAGACACTGTTGACACGGTAGCAAAACGTTCTATATGTGGCAGTGAATTGTTCTGTCTCATTTGTCATGATCCTCTTAGCCATTGAAAGGATTTTACAAAAAGCTTTGTTATTGAACTAATATTTACTTTCCCTTTCCCATGGCGATTTTGTTCCCGGGCATGTATTAAAGAAAAGAGTGACAAATAAAACTGTCCAAGTTAACATTGGTTACGCACTATTTTTGTGAAATGTGTCTCTTCATAGCATAACAGAGGTGAAGGAAGGCGAGTGTGTGTCTACCCCCATCGCGGTGCATTGCGTCACTTTTTCTAATTTGCTTTTTGTTTCAGGCCCAGACCACTGTGACGCAGGATGCTGCACGTTTGCATGGCCGCCTTTGTTTCTTCTGAGAATCATTGCAGGCTTAACTCAGTCCGACAGGAAGCTTTTATTTTGACGAGGTTGTGGGTGGCGGTAGTTGGTACTTTCTTGCATTCCTGTCATGCATGGCGGGTCGGTGGGTCGGTCCAGATGGTGGTGCTTTGGCGTGCTCCTTGCAGACAGTGTGGTGACGGGACAGGGTTGGTTATACTTTACAAACTGAAGTGTGTACTCAGTATGCATCTACAGATGCATACTTGCAAGTACACACCTGCAGATGCATACTTAGCTGAGTACACATCTACAGATGCATACTTAGCTGAGTACACATCTACAGTTGCATACACAGCTGAGTACACATCTGCAGATGCATACTTGGAGAGGTTAGGTATGCATCTGTAGGTGTGTACTCAGCCAAGTATGCATCTGTAGATGTGTACTCAGCTGAGTATGCATCTGTAGATGTGTACTCAGCTGAGTATGCATCTGTAGATGTGTACTCAGCTAAGTACGCATCTGTAGGTGTGTACTTGCAAGTATGCATCTGTAGATGCATACTGAGTACACACTTCAGTTTGTAGAGTAGTTTTGTGATTGCAGATCTTGGGCATTCATTTTTGTGATAAGTTTCGTGATATACTGTGGAAAAAGGGACATTTTTTCCGTTATCTTATGGCCTGAACTTTCCGTGATTTGAGACCCAGGATTTTCCATTATTTGAGACACAGGATTTTCCGTGATATCAGATTCAGGCTTTTCCCGTTGTTTGAAACCCAGAGATTTCCGTACTTTGCACAGGGCGTTAATAGGCCATAGCAGTGAGGGGCAGACTTTGTGAGGGGAATTTCTTAACTTGTCCAATGAAAATACTCACGTACAGAAATGGATTCATTCCTCTTATCAAGGTTAACAAAAAAAAGTCATCCCACATCCTGATCTTAGGTTCGAAATGATGGCGGGGTTGAACTTCAAACATACCAAAGTTTTGTATCGGTAGGAGATACAATGGCTTTTGGCACTATTGACGTGAACAGGTGAAAAATCAATTGTGGAAATGGAAAACTGATGACGGGAATGGATTCGTCGGAACGAAAGTACTAAAAGAAATATACCCGTTTATTACAGGTTTAGACTCGAAATCGGCCATTAATGGCCGATCTGCAGAATCCAATACGTCGAGTTCAGCTCGTTTTTGCAACGCCTTTTAAAAGGGGTGTCAAAATCGACCTTTCGGATTCTGTTGATCGTTCATTTCGAGTCTTCATCTACAACATAAGGTTATATTTCTTTTCATTTCGTTGAGACGAATCCATTCCCATCATCAGTTTTCCATTTCCACAATTGATTTTTCACCTGTTCACGTCAATAGTGCCAAAAGCCATTGTATCTCATACCGATACAAAACTTTGGTATGTTTGAAGTTCAACCCCTCCATCATTTCGAACGTAAGTTCAGGATGTGGGATGATTTTTTTGTGTTTACCTTGACAAGAGGAATGAATCCATTTCTGTAAGTAAGTGTTTTCTTTGGACACGATGAGAAATTCCCCTCACAAAGTCTGCCCCTCACTGCTATGGCCTATTAACGCCCTGTGCAAAGTAAGGAAATCTCTGGGTTTCAAACAACGGGAAAAGCCTGGATCTGAAATCACGCTAAATCCTGTGTCTCAAATAACGGCAAATCCTGGGTCTCAAATCACGGAAAGTTCTGACCATAAATTAACGGAAAAAATGTCCCTTTTTCCACAGTCTAGGAGACAGTAAAAGGTTTTTAGAAAGCAAAGCACTGCCAGTGGTTTTTGCAGTTTGAATGTCATAACAGTATAACAGAACATCATTGTCATGCCATAAGAAGATCCAGAAAAGTCAGGAATACACTGTGCCTTCACTGTCATCCCACTTGCGATACAGACCGCACCTTCAAATTGCATTGGACTTATCTGTGATGATCATTGCAAAACGGTGTAATGAGCTGCTGCATCGCACAATTTTGAAATTACCATGACAACAATTTGCAATGATTAATTTGGATTGCGGATTATGTGTTTTATCATCGCAGATTTATGCAACAATTTCTGCCTTTCATGGCAGAAATGTGCGATGATCAATGCAGGATTATGTGATTCTACCTTTGCCTGAAATGTGATTGCAGAATTTGGGATACAAAAGTCATTGCATCTGGGGAGTTATGATTCGTGAAAATTACTTTTTGAATATCATGGCACATTTGTGCGTTCGCACTGGAATAACAGGGACAGTGGTAAACTCTTAATCTACACTAAAGGAATCCGTTGCCTGGTTCACAGGACCCCCAGCGGCCACCCCGCAGCTCCGCATCAGCAGCACCTTCTCCCTGGCCGGCCCGGCCGGCGATGCGGGGCAGGCGGAGCAGGCTTGGCGGCAGACGCGCAGCAGGAAGGCGAGGCTGGACTCCAAGCTCGGGGAGTCCGGGAACAAGTCTCGGGACAAGGCGGCCCCGCGGAAGCACCGAGCAGGCAACTCCAAGGCGGGGCGACACGTGTGTCAAGTGTGCGGCAGGTACTGGCTATCAGCTACTGACCTGGAGAGACATGCGAGGAAGCACACCGGAGAGAAACCGTACGAGTGTGATGAGTGCGGGAAGAAGTTCACTCAGAAGGGTAATCTTGACGTGCACATGAGGGTCCACACTGGAGAGAAACCGTTCGAGTGTAATGTGTGCGAGAAGAAGTTTTCTATGAAAGAGGATCTTAAGCGGCACACGAGGATCCACAACGGGGAGAAGCCCTACGAGTGCGACGTGTGCAAGAAGAAGTTCGCTGTGAAGGGTAATCTCGATGCGCACATGAGGGTTCACACTGGTGAGAAGCCTTACAAGTGTGATGTGTGTGGAAAGAAGTTTTCGTGGCCAACTCTTTTTGCAGCACACAAGCGAATGCACTCTGGGGAGAAACCGTAGAGTGTGACGTGTGTAAGGAAAAGTTCACTTGGAAGGAAGGTTCTGACTTGCACAGGAGGCTTCCCACCGGAGGGACGCCTTAAGTACAGAGAACTGTCAGTGTCGTTGTCCCTTGCCCACGCGCTTATTCATGTGTGATGCAAGGGTTTGATTCGTACAGTGGTCGGTTTTCTGTCTTTGTCTCGGAGGATTGACTCAATGTGCCCGCGGACACTGCGAACAGTTTAGGATTCGTATTTTCTCGCCTCTAAAATTTGTTTCTTTACCAGTTATCTGTAAAACGTATTGGCTCGCTGGTGCTTTATTTTGTAAGACACTGTTGACACGGTAGCTAAACGTTCTACATGTGGCAGTGAATTGTTCTGTCTCATTTGTCATTTTTCTATTAGCCATTGAAAGCATTATACTAAAAGCTTTGTTATTGAACTAATATTTCGTTTCCCTTTCCCATGGCGATTTTGTTCCCGGACATGTATGAAAGAAAAGAGTGACAAATAAAACTGTCCAAATCAGCATTGGTTACGCACTATTTTTGTGAAATGTGTTTCTTCATAGCAAAACAGAGGTCACGGAAGGCGAGTGTGTGTCTACCCCCATCGCGGTGCATTGCGTCACTTCTTCTAATTCGCTTTTTGTTTCAGGCCCAGACCACTGTGAAGCAGGATGCTTCACCTTTTTTTACTTTCTTCTGAGAATCGTTGCATGCTTAACTCAGTCCGATTGGAAGCTTTTATTTTGACGAGGTTCTGAGTGGCGGTAGTTGGTACTTTCTTGCATTCCTGTCATGCATGGCGGGTCGGTGGGTCGGTCCAGGTGCTGGTCCGTGGTGCTGGCGGCGTGCTCCTTGCACGAGGTTCCCTGGCGGACGGTGGTTCCGCCCTGCACCCGCCAACCGCATTGGCCTCCGACACAACAGCCCGCGTGTTAAGGGATCCTTAACTGTGGCCGTCGTGCCCGAGGACCGGTGTCTTGCCCGTTTGGTTCCACTAACGCTGTGTTGCTTGCAGGTTCCGCGAAGGCAGAGAAGTTGGAGGGCCCAGGAGGACAGCACTGCGAAGAGGACGCGGACGGAAGCTGCCACGCCGAAGGTGAGTCTGGAGACGCTGTGAAGTCCCGATGAATGATAGGTCCCCGTCAAAACCAATTCTGTGTTTAGAATGCTGATATAGTTGGGTTGAAAGATACTACAATCATTTGGGTCTCAGGGCGTGTTTCGAGTACAAAGGGAGACTTGTAACACTCCTCTAAGATTGTTAAATTGATGCTATTTTCTCCTCAATAGGACCCACTTTGAAAAGTAGTTAAAAATTTGATCTACCAAGATTTTATAAAAAAATTTCATTGGGGAGGCACATTTTATGCTCTGAGCCCAGTCGCTGATCCTTTTACTCGTATTTAGGCTATAACTGTATAAATCTTCTAGCGCATACTATTTTGTCATAAAAGGTTGTTCTTAACATTTTTCACTTAAATTCATTTTTAAAAGACGCCGGCATGCACAACTTAAAAGGAAAACTACATTTTCATTCGCAAGCTTTCTAACCAAACATTTCACTATAATTGATCAAACATGTACAAAATAGACTAAGTTCAGCTTAAAAAGCTTACAAACAATAATAAAATGGAAATTTTGAGCTATGCATGCCGGAATCTTTTGAAATTGAATCGAAGAGGTGAAATATGTCAAGGTCAACATTTTACGACAAAATAGTATGCGTAAGAAGATTTTTTAAGATTCAACCAAAAAAGGCTCTTAAAGACTCTTCGACTGGGTTCAAAACCTGGCATATGCCTTCAAAAGTCAAATTTTGGTCTCCTCAAAGAAAGATTCTAAATTCTGAATAAATTATGACGGTGGGATCCATTTAGAAAATGGCAAGATTTTTACCAAAACCTCCCCTTAAATTGAAAAATCGTTGTAAGACTGACCTGCTTGGACAGTTTTAACTTCCGAATGTGCCCAGTCCGGTGGCTGGTCCAAATAGGTAGAAAAGCAGTAATGTCTCGAGTTACCCTCTGTGTCTCAAATTATCCCGGTTTACGGAATGCACATAAAAGTGCATCGTAATTTCGTGTCTCAATCCACACCGAAGGAACCTGTTGCCTGGTTCACAGGACCCCCAGCGGCCACCCCGCAGCTCCGCATCAGCAGCACCTTCTCCCTGGCCGGCCCGGCCGGCGATGCGGGGCAGGCGGAGCACACTGAGATTCCAAACGCTATGAGTATAGCACGTATGGTGCAATGCGCTGTGATATCGCACCATACGTGCAATGCCTCAGCCATATTGCACCTTTGGTGCAATGCTTCCCGAAAAGGCCCTATGCTAATGCATGGGAAATGGGAGGCATTGCACTTCATGTGCAATGCTTTTGCATTGCACCAATTGACGCTATACTCATAGCGTTTGGATTCTCAGTGCAGGCTTGGCGGCAGACGCGCAGCAGGAAGGCGAGGCTGGACTCCAAGCTCGGGGAGTCCGGGAACAAGTCTCGGGACAAGGCGGCCCCGCGGAAGCACCGAGCAGGCAACTCCAAGGCGGGGCGACACGTGTGCCAAGTGTGCGGCAAGGACTGGCCTTCAGCTTATAAGCTGGAGGTTCATGCGCGGAAGCACACTGGAGAGAAACCGTACGAGTGTGATGTGTGCGGGAAGAAGTTCACGTTGAAGGTTAATCTTGACGTGCACATGAGGGTCCACACTGGAGAGAAACCGTTCGAGTGTGATGTGTGCGAGAGGAAGTTTTTGACGAAACAAAGTCTTGAGTGGCACATGAGGATCCACAACGGGGAGAAGCCGTACAAATGCAAAGTGTGCAAGAAGAAGTTTACTGTCAAGGGAACTCTAGTTGCGAACATGAGGGTTCACACTGGTGAGAAGCCGTACAAGTGTGATGCGTGTGAGAAGAACTTTTCTATGAAAGAGAATCTTAAGCGGCACACGAGGATCCACAATGGGGAGAAGCCCTACGAGTGCGACGTGTGCAAGAAGAAGTTCTCTGATAAGGGTAATTTTCAAAGGCACTTGAGAGTTCACACTGGATAGAAGCCTTCCGAGTGCAACGTGTGCAAGAAGAAGTTCGCTGTGAAGGTTAATCTTGATGCGCACGTGAGGGTTCACACTGGAGAGAAGCCGTACGAATGTGACGTGTGTGGGAAGAAGTTCACTCAGAAAGGTCATCGTGATTTTCACAGGAGGCTTCACACTGGCGAGAAGCCTTAGTTGTGTACGGAGAAGTGTCAATTAGGTTTCGTTGTTCAATGCACACGCGCTCATTCATGTGTGATGCAAGGATTTGATTCGTTCGGCTTTCTGTCTTCGTGTAGGAGGGCCGACGCAATGTGCCTGCGCTCTTTTTGGATAGTTATGGACAGGTTTTTTCGCGCCTCTTAAATTTGTTTCTTTTCCATTTATCTGCTATATATCTTGCCTAGTTATTGCCCTTTTTTGTCTTAAACGGTTGTAACGTTTGCGGAAGGTTCTTTCTGTGGCAGTGCATTGTATTTTTTGTATTCTTTCATTTGTCATGTTGCTTGTGGCCATCAAACGCTTTGCTATTGAATAAATATTATCTTTCCCTTTCTATTGACTAAATTGTTTTCGGACCTGTAACTATGAAAAGAGTGTCAAATGAAACTGTTGAAAGCCACTAACGGTGCGCACATCTATTTTTGTAACATGTGCCTCTTCCCAGTAAAGCAGAGGTCAAGGGAGGCGAGTGCGTGTCTGCCGCCAATGCAGTGCTTTGCGTCTGTTTTTCTAATTCACTTTTTGTTTGAGGCCCAGACCACTGTAAAGCAGGATGCTTCTGTTTTGCATGCTCTACAAACTGAAGTGTGTACTCAGTATGCATCTACAGATGCATACTTGCAAGTACACACCTACAGATGCGTACTTAGCTGAGTACACATCTACAGATGCATACTCAGCTGAGTACACATCTACAGATGCATACTTGGCTGAGTACACACCTACAGATGCATACCTAACCTCTCCAAGTATGCATCTGCAGATGTGTACTCAGCTGTGTATGCAACTGTAGATGTGTACTCAGCTAAGTATGCATCTGTAGATGTGTACTCAGCTAAGTATGCATCTGCAGGTGTGTACTTGCAAGTATGCATCTGTAGATGCATACTGAGTACACACTTCAGTTTGTAGAGTGGCTGCCTCTATTTCTCATGAGAATCTGTGCATTTTTGCGCAATCTGCAATCTGCGCAATCAGCTCAAGCAGTCCTATGGGAAGATTTTATTTGGACGAGGTTCTGGGTGGCAGTTGTTGGTACCTTCTTGCATGGCGGGTCGGTGGGTCGGTCCAGGTGGTGGTCCGTGGTGCTGGCGGCGTGCTCCTTGCACGAGGTTCCCTGGCGGACGGTGGCTCCGCCCTGCACCCGCCAAACACATTGGCCTCCGACACAACAGCCCGCGTGTTAAGGGATCCTTAACTGTGGCCGTCGTGCCCGAGGACCGGTGTCTTGCCCGTTTGGCTCCACTAACGCTGTGTTGCTTGCAGGTTCCGCGAAGGCAGAGAAGTTGGAGGGCCCAGAAGGACAGCACTGCGAAGAGGACGCGGACGGAAGCTGCCACGCCGAAGGTGAGTCTGGAGTCAGTGTGGCGACGAGACAGGCCGCACTGTGAGCGGAGTGGCACTGGTTTTCTCCACAGCAATCGCGACAGAGCCAACAAACGTTCTGCAGTCCGGTTCAGAATCTTCTCGTTACACTTTGTACTTTCGCCGTTGTAACTTTTTTCTCAGCCCTTGTTTTGCTTTTGTTGTATAATTGCAGTACAATATGCGAGTCTTCGACAGCAAACTTTGGCGATAAAAATGAATTTTCGCTTGGCACGTGTGCGACTGTGTGAAGATTGTAACCTTTCACACCTGATCGCACCCTCAAGTGCAATAATTCAGTTATTTTATAATTTTGCAATTAATTTGCGCGTTGCAACCCCCTTTTCACTCTCATACTATGAACATGACATCGCGTTTGTACCAATGGAACATGTTATAATTTGCCCTTGTGCATTTTGTCACATTTCTTTCAAAGTGAATAAGCTAATATATGCCTGATTAACAATGAAACGAATGTAAGACAATGCTCAAACGAAATTGACATTTTGTCTCATTCGTTTGAACGTGATGTCACGTTTCTGGAAAGACAGTGTTGCGATACTTTAATCGCTATTTGATCCGTAATTGCAGATTATTGCAAAATATTATGATTTGTGCACGGTGAAACCGATGTCTGGAAATTTCCAGACATTTTTTCCCATTTTCAGACATTGTCTGGAAATGGCCGTTTTTTTCCAGACAATGTCTGGAAATGTCTACTTTTTCCAGATAATGTCTGGAAATGGTCAAATCAAGAACCTATAAAGCCCCAATCCGACTGACTCACTGACTCACTGACTCACTCACTCACTGACTCACTCACTCATAGAAATGTTTGGGGTGAAGGAGTGGTCGTAGAGACTTGCGGTTTTTTCCATTCGATTCCAAATTTTATGGGAAAATTGGGAAAAATCCCAAAAGTTGAAAATTCCTCACCGTTTCCGAGAAAACCTTCTTTATCTACGAAAAAGGGGAACAAATTTCTTACCGTTTCCGAGTAAACCTACTCAATCTTCAAAAAAGGGGACCGACCGACTAGAAATTTTTATTCGCCCCATCGGTAGGTCTGGTCGAGACATTTCCGAAACTGTGCCGCAATCGGGTCCTCGTCACCGGCAACATCCTCAAAAACGATAAAATAGGCCTAAATTTAACAAAATCCACTCTATCTTCAAAAAAGGGGACCGACCGACTAAAAATTTTTATTCGCCCCATCGGTAGGTCTGGTCGAGACATTTCCGAAACTGTGCCGCAATCGGGTCCTCGTCACCGGCAACATCCTCAAAAACGATAAAATAGGCCTAAATTTAACAAAATCCACTCTATCTTCAAAAAAGGGGACCGACCGACTAAAAATTTTTATTCGCCCCATCGGTAGGTCTGGTCGAGACATTTCCGAAACTGTGCCGCAATCTGGTCTCTGTCACTGGCAACATCCTCAAAAAACAATTACATAGGCCTAAATTCAACAAAACCCACTCAATCTTCGGAAAAGGGGACCGACCGACTAAAAATTTTTATTCGCCCTATCGGTAGGTCTGGTCTTGACATTTCCAAAACTGTGCCGCAATCTGGTCCCCGTCACCGGCAACGCCCTCAAAACGATTAAATAGGCCTAAATTTAACAAAATCCACTCAATCTTCAAAAAAGGGGACCGACCGACTGAAAATTTTTATTTGCCCTATCGGTAGGTCTGGTCGAGACATTTCCGAAACTGTGCCGCAATCGGGTCCCCGTCACCGGCAACACCCTCAAAACGATTAAATAGGCCTAAATTCAACAAAACCCACTCCATCTTCGAAAAAGGGGACCGACCGACTAAAAATTTTTATTCGCCCTATCGGTAGGTCTGGTCTTGACATTTCCAAAACTGTGCCGGAATCTGGTCCCCGTCACCGGCAACATCCTGAAAACGATATAAAAATATCAAAATAGGCCTAAATTCAACAAAATCCACTCAATCTTCAAAAGAGGGGACCGACCGACTGAAAATTTTTATTCGCCCTATCGGTAGGTCTGGTCGAGACATTTCCGAAACTGTGCCGCAATCGGGTCCCCGTCACCGGCAACACCCTCAAAACGATTAAATAGGCCTAAATTCAACAAAATCCACTCAATCTTCATAAAAGGGGACCGACCGACTGAAAATTTTTATTTGCCCTATCGGTAGGTCTGGTCAAGACATTTCCGAAACTATGCCGCAATCAGGCCCCGTCACCGGCAACGTCCTCAAAGTCATCAATCAAGAACCTATAAAGCCCCAATCCGACTGACTCACTCACTGACTCACTCACTCACTCATAGAAATGTTTAGGGTCAAGGGGTGGTCGTAGAGACTTGCGTTTTTTTCCATTCACCTCTATCCTTGTCAAAGCAGTCTTCAATATTTTCCGGACCTTGTATGCACCCATTGACTGCCACAGTAGCGAATGCAATACAAGCTATCTATTTGGGCAGTAAAAGTAGCTTATTATATGGTCTAAAGCTGTTAAATAGGCCTTTCATAGAAGCAGTACATTTACTTCCTTAGAAAATTAGCCTTTGGTCACCACGGACTTACTGAAAATACTTCGGCACGCGCCCCACACATGCGGGGGTCTGGGGGCGGAGCCCCCAGCGAGCAGCGCGAGTCCCAGATATATATCTGGAAAAAAAACGGCATTTCCAGACAATGTCTGGAAATAACATTTTCCAGATAATATCTGGAAATTTCCCAGATAATGTCTGGAAACAAAGGCCTTGACGCCGAGGTCCACGGATTTGCGACCTGGGGGTCCCCGATGGTGTCCTCGAGGTCCCCAGGACACGAGGAGTCCAACGCCGAGGTCGCCGACGCTCTAGGACAAGCGGTTCCGGAGATACGAGGACGTACCACAAGGAGTCCGTCAAAGCAACTTTTTTGTTGGAGGCCAAAATCATCATCGGCCTGTGGCTGCGTTCCACTTGGGTGTCCAGGACTTTTGACTTCAGCATCGTGTTAAGGTAGTGCTAGACTACCAGGAACCCGTCAGAGGTCGCCGTCGGACCACCGGTGCGCCCAGGATGCCGACGAACGTGGCTGCTGTGCCGCCACACGGTTCAACACCGTTGTCGCCACCACCCAGGTGGTCCTCGATGGTGTCCTCGAGGTCCCCAGGACACGGGGAGTCCAACGCCGAGGTCGCCGACGCTCTAGGACAAGCGGTTCCGGAGATACGAGGACGTACCACAAGGAGTCCGTCAAAGCAACTTTTTAGTTGGAGGCCAAAATCATCATCGGCCTGTGGCTGCGTTCCACTTGGGTGTCCGGGACTTTTGACTTCAGCATCGTGTTAAGGTAGTGCTAGACTACCAGGAACCCGTCAGGGGTCGCCGTCGGACCAACGGTGCGCCCAGGATGACGACGAACGTGAGGCACGCCGGAGCGCTGTGGCGTGCCGGGTGCCTAAACGATCGTCGCCACCGCCGCGGCCGCTGTCGCCGGGTCCTCCGCACCAACCGCGAGGTTGGACGACGGAGGCCGACGCCGTTGGCACCGACGCCGCCGACGTGTACGTCGACGCCACCACATTGGCCTCTGGCATTGGCCTCTGGCTGCGCGGCCGTTCGAGCACACGGCGGCGGCGTCGGCCGTCAGGGCACTCCTCGTCGGTGCCGACGGCGTCGTCGGCCCTGGCCGTGGTGGCGTTGACGGACACGTCGGTGGCGTCGGCCCCCGTCGTCCAAGCTGTAGATCGCGACGTAGGACACGGCGGTTGCGGGGGCGACGCGATCGTTCAGGCACCTTGCCCGCCACGTTCGTCGGCACCCTCGGCGCACCGGTAGTCCGACGGCGACCCCTTACTGCTAGCCCAGGTGCACCCTAACGCAGTGTTTAAGTCAAAAGTCCTGGACACCCAAGTGGAACGCAGCCAGAGGCCGAAGCGGCCGTTGGAGCACACTAACGGC